TCTCTCTCTCTCTCTCTCTCTCTCTCTCTCTCTCTCTCTCTCTCTCTCTCTCCAAATAATGTAATCTCATTAAACAAATAACTACCAGTAACTTTTATGTTGTCGTTTTGTGAATTTTGCATTATAAATTTTTCTTAGCATGTCTTTGTATCTTATACATGAGCAGCTCTATGTTTGACATGTGAAAATAAATCAGCTATGAGTAGAGAAGTGACAAAATTATGTTGTCGTTTTGTGAATTTTGCATTATAAATTTTTCTTAGCATGTCTTTGTATCTTATACATGAGCAGCTCTATGTTTGACATGTGAAAATAAATCAGCTATGAGTAGAGAAGTGACAAAATGGAATGAGGGAAGAGATGTATGATGGCATGTTGGTGAATTTATTTACTTCCTATTGATACATTTGAAATTCACTATTGGAATGCCCTCAAAATTATTTAGTTACAATCCAACTATTTGGTTTCTTCCAAATTAACTTTTTTTCCTATATGGTTGGTCTATCTTTCAAAACTTTTCTCCAAATGGAGCAGTTAATATAGTTCAATATTTGCTCTTGCAATTTAGCTAAGGGTTGGCCCAACCTATTTAAACATACATGTCCTAATTCTATTATGCATATCACTTGTCTTTTATTCATTTGAATGTTTTCCAAGATGTAGTTTTAAATTTTCCAACCAAATGCAAAATAGGGTGGATGGACTACATATTGGTCCTAGGTAGTCCTGGAATGCAATTTATTCAGCTCCTTAAAAGAGAATTAGGAACACAGGAGTTGATGGGAAGAGTTTCGAAGTCGAGGACGCCCCTCTTTGATGCTTGGGACTTGCAAGATAATACTTGTTTGACTTATCTTATAGATTTATGCCGGCATGTCTACCTTGCCTTAGAATAATAAAACTTGGAGTAAATTGTATGTAAAGCTGCTTCTATAGTTCTATTTTCTTCTGTTGTATTCTATTGTTATAGTTCTAACAATAATTAAAGAGAAATTTTTTAGCGTTGCCATAAAAATTTTGAGCTAAGTGTTAACATTGTAATTGGTCGTCAATAATTTTATATTATTATTTTTAAATTTAATAATTTTTTATTATTTTTAAAGTCTTATTAACGTGCACCTTGTGCACGTGCATTTAAACTAGTCAAAATAAAATTAAGCATTAAATGAATAGTACAACAACATAAACATAAACATAATTTTCTAGCACATGAAGTTTCAACTATTCAATAAAAGGAATGATATGATTAGCTTCTTCAATGGTTTGTCTTTGAACTTCTATATCATCTTCAATAAATATCATTGCTTCTACTTTAGGCTCATCAAGTGAAAGATTAGCAATTTCTAATAGTCTGATATCATCAAGAGACTCAAATCCATCTCGGAAATGAGAGAACCTCGCTCGCAGCCATGGAAGTAAGTATTATGCGTCTTTTTTCAGATTTTTTTTCAACGAACACGCGTATCGGATACGTGTGTCCTTTTGAAATTAAATAGTATTTTAATTTGATACGGTTTTGCCGTATCCGACATGTATCGGTGTCGTATCGAATGTGTATTTATGCATCAGTGTATCGGATACAACACACCTTCATAAATAGGTGTATCGGTGCAACATAGGAGCAAATGTGATGGGATGAACATGGTCCATTTTGACCTAATGATTGCGTGCTTAGGCTCGAAACACAAGATTTTGAGTTTGAGGCCCATCATCTATGAGTGTGTGTCAGTTTTTATTAAATTTGTTCAAAGTTCCAAAAAAATTTGAAGATATAACTAATGGAGTTAGGTTCTTGGCATTAGTACTCTCTTAATATCTACACCAAAATAGATATTCTTTTATGTGGATATAGATTACTTTTGCCAAACAACATAAAATGATTGCCTCCTCCATCTATATTTCCACTCGATCACTTGTTATTCTCCTCTATAAAATTCATGATAATCTATATAGAATATGAAGCCAAACAACAAAAGAGTTGTAAAGCGAGTTTCGGAATAAGAAGAGAAAATTGATTCCATGGCGGCGAAGGATTTTAGAGTGCAAACCCATAAAAAATAATACAAATGTATTCAAGATTATCATGAGATTAGTTTAAAACAAATGTATGCAAGACCTACAAAATAACCTAAAGCTAAAAGGTGAGTGGTACTTCATAAGATAATCAAAAAATTTGTACTGTTTGCAAAATTCAGGTAAAGTATAAATATTTGGACAAAGAAAACGTTAACAAGATCAAGGAGCTTAACTTACATGTATTATTAGCACAGGACAGTTGACTAATGGAATTTTGTCAATATTCTGGAAAACATAAAAAGATCAAAGAAGAAGACTTTAGTCCTCAACAGACGAGGATAGAAAAAGATATAAAAACTAAAATAAACAGGGAATAAAGATCAACCTTGTAGATGTCAAACCAATATGTCCGTTTAACAGGATACATCACTCTTAAGCCTGATAATATAGGGCTGTGCAAAACAACAGATCTTAAGTATGGAAGCCTTGCTGCCAGATTGAGAGTAGGTCCACTTCCAACAGATTGCCCGTACAGGACAATATTTTCCTCTTTTGCACCATAGTTCTCTATGAGGCACTTATAAACAGCCTCAATATCAGAATATGTATTCTGCTCCGTTGGCTGCGAAGATACTTCTTTAGTTTATGATTAGAAAAAACAGTCTAATTTAATACTCTAGATTGTTAATCATCATTAGCTACATAGGAAGGGAACAAGTAGCAAACCTTTCCAGATGACTGGCCATATCCAGAGTAATCATACCTGCAAATATGAAAATTTGGTCAAAAAAAGTGGACATTACAGGGGCATATATAAGTCCTTCTAAAGTTTGATTTAACTGAGCTCACTCATTAAATAAGACAAAGCTGAGGTAAATGGTCCTAATAGCTTACAGAGGCGGGTGAGTTAACAGTCACTTCACACTGCAAAATCTTTCTGGTTACATCTGAATGGTGCGTAGGCAAGAGGAAGTTTAATTTTTGCTAATCACTAAGTTTAATTCCTTGAAAATTAGATCTTCTTAATAAGCAAAACTAGAGCTAAAAAAGAACTAGTGACAGCTGAAATAAATGAGAATAGAGTTGAAAGTATATCTGCAGGAAAATCTTAATGATGAGTTAAATCTAGATGTAAATTATGGCAACAAGACCACTAATACTCTCGGACACTTTGAATTATCCAGTTTGACTCATCCACAGAGTAGCCCTAGTTTAGCATCATAGGAATTGATGATTTCCCTCACAAATAAACAATGCACAATGCATCAAAGTATTGTTCTTAAGCGCCAGAAAGTCCTTGAAGCTAATTTAAAAAGGTATGGATGCAAGTTCGCAAATTTGAATAAACAACTTGACTGAACTACTGAATCTAGACGAAGCAAAACATGCTTACAGATTGAAGCTTAGCTGTTTTTCCATTGTTTTTCCTACTGAGGCATTAGTTCAGCCTTGATATTTGCCTGAACTACATAATCCGGCAGAAGCAAGAAATGTCGAACAGTTTCTGGCTAAAAAAAACAACTACTTTCCATAGTTTTCATGTTGAGGTATTGACAACTCCATCTTTCCCCGCTCAGCTAGAATTTTCTCCCATCTCTCTTCTAAGATCTTGGTAAATGCGGAAAAGTGCTCTCATAATTATGAAGAAAAATGGAATTTTCTACTAAATATAGTAAGAACAATTATGTTGCAGCATAATAGTTGACACTCGTCCCCTTGGAATTGGAAATAAATAGAACTTCGATTGCATATTCAAGATTATATAGAAGTTTTTATTTTAGTTCAAAAGGATCAATATGTAGAATCAGAGTTATGGTCGAAATTCGAATTGGAACATCCACTTTTCGGGTAAAAAAGAGAGTAAAAACATATTTATTACATGTCAAAAGGAGAAATAAACAGCAGTACTGTCAGCTATCATTGTGTATGAGCTCGTGGTCCTCCAAGTTATCAACCATACAATTGGCTACCTCCACTCAATCTAGCCAATCTCTCGTTAAACCCATGCCGGAGAACTGAGTGATACAATTTAGTTCCATGGCAGCTAAGTACTTATTCTTGGAAGCATTGGTTATTACTGAGTTGTGCTGGTTAAGTTAAAAACTCAAGGCACTCCCATCTGAATATTCATATAAAAGTTCATTTATTGCCAAAAAGTAAGTTGCAGCTATCTAGTGAAACATAAATTCAGGCAAAAATCAAGAAAGACACTGGTATTTGATTACCTATCAAACTATATGTATTGAAGCTATCACTAACTTTCGTGCTAATTATATCAACAAAACCTTATGATATTTCCCAATTAGCTTGCGCTGGGTTTTTGGGTGTATGTGCAATTTTGGATGGAGTGGTTAAGGAAAAAAGCAACACAAATTTGATCAATCCAATAGCAGAAGTAAGCCACTATTCACTTACAAAAGACATTAAAAGCGCCATCCTTTCAGCGGACCGTTAAAAAACTCTTTTTTATAACAAGTCTACAAAGTGCAAAAATAATGGTAGACAGTAAAAACAAAGACTAGTTCCACAAGGCCAGAACACTAGTAATTATAGAAGTCCAACGATGCTCAACCACGATAGTAACGGTCTCTAAGAATGTTTACAATAAAGCATAAAAAAGTCAAAAAATAAAAAGACTCATGTGGACTATTTCTTCCAAACAAAAGGAAAATCAACATAAGAAAACAAAATAAAAGAACTTGGGGGAAAAAAGGTAACGAAGTTCTCAATTATACCAACTGTATATCTAAATCAGATCATGGGCCTCATCGTTGTTCCAGGGGTCTGAAAAAGAATAACTTCGCTTAAAACATACAATTAAATAAAAAAGCCATGAAAGGATAGATTCCCGGAAAACTGTTCCATTTAATAAGGGAAAAAGTGACAACCATTCAAAACACCCCCAACGTTTACTTCAGTAACTGAAACAAAACGAAGATCTGTCATGGCGAACTAATTGACTAAAATTCACAAAATCTGCGCTAATCTCCTTAACTGAACCACAAGCTCCTTCCTTTATCCTCCCGACAGGAAATCCTAGCACCCTTCACCGAAAACCAGATCCAAACAAACCAGAATGCAAAAACCCCGAAAGAAAATAAACCATTTTCAACCACTATTAAACCGTAACCCCAAAAAAGAACATTGAAGACCACATCAAACACGTATTCCATCCGTATATACTAAAATCAGAAGCTAAAAAGGTTACATAATCCGCTGAACATTAGCAGAATCGCATACCCCATAAGATTGACGCGGAGATGGATGCTGAGCTCGATGAATAGCTCATACATCTGGCCAAGATCGGCCGCGTTTCCATGCGAGTAGAGCAGCGTCGACGCCGCCATAGGGTTTCGGATATAGACTGCGACGATCTCTGTCCCCCGCCGCGTCGGTAGCCGCATCACCTCCACATTCTCCCTGTGCGGAAACCGGTTAATCGTCGTCAGCCCCGTCACTGGTTCTCTCACCAGCTCGTACGACGGCGGACTCGGCGGAAAAAACGCCAGCTTTGCCGCCATCGACGACGTCACTCCCCCCATTCCCCCTCCCTCTCTCTCTCTCTCTTTATCTCCTATATATGAGCTGATGGAAGAATCCAAAGAGGGGAGTGAAGAGGGCATTCGGTCACTCTCTCTCTCTCTCTCTTTCTCTTATCCTCTACGGACTACAGCCGAAGGAGAATAATGAAGCGTGCAATACAAGGCTGCTTGGACCTGAAAAAGGGACCGAGAAAGTGACTTGATGATTGAGTTCTTCGAGCTGAGACAATATTATTGAGGTGACGTCATGTGGAGCATCTAATCTGTCTTTTTCCTTATTTTGCATTTTTTTAACTTAAATCTAAATCTTTATTTTAGTTAAATTTGATATGTTACTTAGGGATATTTGATTGGAATATAAGGTGTTGTAAAGTATTACAAAGGTAAGATTTTTAAAAATTTTGTTGTTCATTTGAAATACAAAGTAAAGGTACTGACTGCCTCCCACCACCGACACCACCCACCAAAAACCGCCGCCACATCCACCACCGCCAATCCCCACTGATCACCAACATCATCCTTGTCGGCCACCACCACCCTCTGCTAGCCACCGCCATCACCGTCGCCATTAACCAACGCCATCATCGAGCGACATCGCCGTGTTTGTCGATTGAAATCGAGTTTCAAGCATGGACCATATAGCCGAAGTGGATTCAAGATTGATGATGTAAGGAAGCACGGCGTAGGGGGAATGGAGATGGTGGAACAGAGGGTTGGGGCCAAATTTTGATCGGTTTGAAGCCACTTATTATACGTAAAGTTCGAAATGGTGGATCCATCTGATTGGTGTAGAAGACGTGCGGGTGTAGGGATGGTGGGATCAAGAAATGATGATTCAAATCCATTTGCACGAAAGATCATGATTATCTGAGATCTCCAAAGCGAATAGTTGTCGTTGGCGAGTTGATTTGGAGTGAAGCTTTTGAGCTTGGAGATGACAAACTTTAAGGTAGATGGAATGACAGGTCCAGCAAGATATGTCGACTCTGCATGTTCGTCGACCTGAGAAGTGGCTGAGCTCGCCATGGAACCAGGATTCTTCAATCCCTCTCTGATACCATGAAGAACGGACAAGACAGGAAGAAGAAGCAAGGAGGATAAGAGAGAGAGAGAGAGAGAGAGAGAGAGAGAGAGAGAGAGA